TGTTGTTATATGCTACTGCATTTCTGCTGATCTTCCTCTTCTTTTACTTCCAATATCAGGTACACAACTGACACGCTGGTTACTGTAAGCTGAAACATGAAGCATGAATATGAAATAAAGAGTTGAAGTTCTGAATTTATCTTAGTTATATTCTGAATTTTGTGTATATACATTATTTAGTTTCCTCTAATCAAAATCATATAGTTGTTTAATATATAATGGAACATCTGACAGTAGCTTAGTGGACGAACTGTCTATGTATTGCTAAAAAAAATGGTGTAGTAACTCTGTTCAGATAGTTCGTTATTGTTTGATGATTATCATATCTCAAAAAGCATGTTAGCTGATTTAGACTATTCTTAAACATTCAACAGTTAGCTCATTAAACGAATAAACCGCTTCGGAACTTGTAGGAATATTGTTTAGCTAGATAATATTGGTTAATTTCAGCATGTAAATGGTTTAGGATTAAAATTAGATTGCCAAGTTTTTTTTAAATTTGACAAACTGTGAGCATGCCTAGTATAATGTAACTAGGTAGTAACATGTGAATGAGATGGCCCAGGTCCAGTTTTGTGCCATACACGTTGGGCCTGGGTCCACGTTGGCCAACAGGCTGTCCATATTGTGCTTACATTCTGATTTAACAAATTGCGTTCGGAACCCGACTATAACAACTCGTAAGCATGTAAATAAATTAGGACCTTTTCTCTTTCATTTTTTAGAGACAAATTTAATAGAAAAATTATAGGCACTTTAGGATTATCCTTTTAAAATAAATGAGATGAGCCTAACCCAATAAAACGTACAAGTTGTGGGGCCCTCAATAAATGGTTAATAATTGTATAGACTTCGGGATCGGTCGTTTAGCAAATTTCACGGCCTTACCCAAAATAATGATACGCTTGTTGCTTTATGCGCGCCTTTAACAATTTATTTTCTTAAACTCGGGTGCACATTTATGTGACCCAAATCCAAATCTCAACAGAGTCGAAATATGTCGATAACCACGGGTACATTGATGTGACGTGGTTCGAGATATATTTTCACGATGTTGCAATTCTCTGTTAAAATAATAATAATGATAAAAGCGGTTAAAAGTTAAAATTCGCACATATGTTCAACATGTATTATATCAGATAATCAAGCCGAATATGACAGTTGAGCGACCGTGCTAGAACCACGGAACTCAGGAATGCCTAACACCTTCTCCCGGGTTAACAGAATTCCTTATCCGGATTTCTGGTGCGCAGACTGTAATACAGAGTCATTCTTTTCCTCGATTCGGGATTAAAATGGGTGACTTGGGACACCCTAAATCTCCCAAGTGGCGACTCTGAAATAAATAAACAAATCCCGTTTCGATTGTCCTTTAATTGGAAAAAACTCCCTTCCGCGCCCTTTTGAGGCGGTGCGGGCGAAAAAGGAGGTGTGACATCGGGTATTCCTTCGATTGCCTTAATCTGTTCTGGGTTGACCTCGATGCCTCTTTGGGATACCAGAAAACCGAGGAACTTACCCGAACTTACACCGAAGGCACATTTTTCGGGGTTTAGCTTCATGCCGTACCGTTTTAGTATATCGAAGGCTTCCTTCAGATGATCGATATGATCTTCTTTCCTTTTCGAATTAACCAGCATATCGTCGATGTATACTTCCACTGTTCTACCGAGTTGGTTTTTGAACATTTTTGGTGACCAATCTCTGATATGTCGCCCCCGTATTCTTTAACCCGAATGACATCACTTTATAGCAGTATGTTCCCTGGTGAGTGATGAAAGTGATTTTCTCCTGGTCTTCTTCTTCCATGAGGATCTGATTGTAACCCAAATAGGCATTTAAGAAGCTTAGCAACTCGTGCCCTGCTGTTGAGTCGATGAGCTGGTCGATATGTGGCAATGGAAAAGAATCTTTCGGACATGCCTTGTTTAGATCCGTGAAATCTACACACATCCGCCACTTTCCATTCTTCTTTTTTACTATGACCACATTGGCGACCCATTCAGGATATTTTGATTCCCGGACAGAACCATTCACGAGCAGCTTATCGACCTCTTTGCTAACGGCTTCGTTGATAGCGACGTTGAACTTCCTTCTTATTTGCCGCACCGACGGGTAGAAGGGATCGACATTTAGCTTGTGGATGCCAATATCTTTTGGGATGCCTGGCATATCTGCATGGGAAAAGTCAAACAGATCAGCATGGTCAGTCAAGAACTTATGAAACTTACCTGGTTCTGAGAGGTTGTGCCCGATATAAGCCTTTTTTGTGTTGTCGTTGCCATCTAGCATGACGGGATCAAGATTTTCCATTGTTGATTCGGATGCTTCCATGATGTCGGGTTCCTTGATAACATCTGCCTGTGTGTCAAGTCTTAATCCCGACATCGCTAATTGCTATGCTTCCGTACTCGCTCCTTTGAGTTGTTGGGTATGTGCGCAATCTTGGGCGATGCGATAGCATTCTTGTGTGGTGCGCTGCTCCCATCGAATGCTGAATATTCCCCATGGGGTTGGAAACTTGATCACTTGATAGAGATTGGAAGGGACCGCTCGCATGGCGTGTATCCATGGACATCCTATGATGGCATTGTAAGTTGTTTCCTGGTTCATGACGTGAAATGTCATTTCCAGAGTGACTCCTCCGGCTAGGACGGGTAGCACTATTTCTCCAAAAGTCTGTTCAACTGCATTATTAAAACTTGTTAGCGTTATACAACGCGATATTATTTTATCTTCGAGTTCATCTGCATGAGGACTCAGGGATAGATAATTTAAGCGCCGCTCCCGTCATCTACCATTATTCCTTTTACATCAGTATCTGTGATACGTAAAGTGATAACAAAAGCATCATAGTGAGGTCCAGACAAACCGTCGGCATCTGACTTATCGAAGATGATATTGTCTTCAAGGTCATCATACCGATCGTGGGTGATTGATCGTTTGAGTTTATTGTATGGTGGTGAATTTGACATGATTGATTGTTGCGCCATCGCCTCCTCCGATGATCATTTGTATAGTGCGAGCGGGAGAAGGTGGTTTAGGAGGTCACTGGGGCTGCTCGCGTCCGCGGGTGAAGTTAGCCCGTCCTCGATCGCTTAACAACTCTTTCAGGTGTCCCTGGCCCAGCATTCACACTACCTCCTATCGCAGTCCTATGTAATCTTTGGTTTTGTGGCCCCTTTCTTGGTGAAATTTGCAGAAAGCGCTTGACTTCCGGGTGTTGGGGTCTGACCACATTTTTGCGGCCATTGCACCTTTGGACCGAGTTTCTCCAATGCGTACACTATTTCTGAAGAAGAAACACAAAAATTGTGAGCAGATAGGAGTAAAGGCATACCTTTCTCTTGTCGATATGGTGTTGTGTGTCGAGGGAGAGCATCTGTGTGCCGTGGTGGAGGCGGGGCAGACGTCCTGATGTAAGGCTGATGCCTTTCTCGGCCGAGGCGGGTCCCCAATTGATCTCTTCAACCGTTGTTGCGATTATCTTTCCCTGCTTCAGCTTGAAGTGACGTCAACCATTGGGTCGGACCGTTGAGGTCATCCTCGTCGGCTCGTACCTCGACACAGTAAGCATTATGGATTTCTTCCCAAGTAGTTGGAGGGTATTTTATGAGCCTGCTTAGCAATTTTCTGGTCGCTCTCGGCCCGTTCCTGTTTAGCCCGTTTTGGAAGGCTGCTACTGCCATTCCTTCTGACATATTCGACAGGCTCATTCTTACCCTGTTGAACCGAGCTAAAAAGTCTCTGAGTCCCTCGCCGTGCATTTGCCTTATGACAAATATATCATTTACCCTAGCTTCTGCCTTTTTGGCTCCTGCATGGGCGGTAACGAATTTATCTGCCATTTCCTCGAAAGTTGTTATCGAGCGTGCCAGCAGTTGAGAGTACCATGTCAAGGCTCCCCCTGTTAGGATTTCACCGAACTTTTTCAACAGTACTGATGGTACCTGCTCTTTTGAAAGATCATTACCTTTCATGGATGTAACATAATGGATGATATGATCCTCTGGATCGGTAGTGTCATCATATATCTTTAGGTAGGGCGGCATTTTGAAGGTCTTTGGGATAGCATAGGTGGCCGCTTCTTCACTGTATGGTTGCTTAATGAATCGACCAACATCGTGTTTTGGCAACAACTTTGGAGCGCCTGGTATTTTGTCCACCCTCTCTTGGTGTTCCTTCATTTGGTTACAGAGTGCTTTATTCTCATTTTTCATCTCCTCCATTTTCTTTAAAACAGCTGCAAACGTGTCATTACCTGCGTCATTAGCGACATAAGTGTTACCTGTATGGGGGGCATCCTGCTCATCAGCGTTTATCGTGACATCTGCATATGCAGCATTCCTGTTATCCCTTTGGGCGGGTTTGTCAAGTATGGTGTTTAGAGTACCCGTTAGCCATTCTTCCAGCAATCTTCACACTACTAGTGATGCCTCTCCTGTTGTAGATGTGGAGGCTTCCTTCTCGNCATAAAGCTAGGAACAAGTGGTTATCCCTTTCAAGAGTCTAGATGAGACTAAGATCTTAGCTAAAGAAATCCCCACAGACGGCGCCAAATTGTTTGACCAAAAGATATTGAAACCTTTTTGATTAAATTAATTAAGAAAGTTGAAGGGGTAAATCTCCGCCAAGTATAATAAGATCTAGCTTGAAGGATGTTAAGAATGAGCAAGATGAATAATGTTTCTCTGTATTTCATAGTTGAACGACAAATTATAAATATGATCGCTTTGAATGTAGAGAGATTTTGCAACAGATGGTTTTAGTTTCAAGTAAAAGTCGTATATAGATCTTAGAATTGTGATCCCCCCTTTACAGAATGTTCGGCCCCCTTTTATTGGGGACAATCTCCCTCCTTCCTCTCAAAAGAAAAAAGTACAATTTAAAGAATATTCTAAAGACATATTCATATTGTTCCCTATCATGCTAACACGACTACAAATGTCGTGCGTTTGCTAGCTACTGTCGATCGTCGTTTATCTTGACGATCCTTAAAAAGCGACATCGTAGGGACCTCACTCTCTGCTACACTTGGTTTCGGTCGTGGTCGTCCAAATTTTGACCCATACAATATGGTTGAATGTCTTGTTTCTTGAATGAGAGTACTGAAAATCAAGAAATGATCTGGGCGGTGCATTATACAGAAGAAATTGAATTATTACTCGGTAATGTAGAAGACAACTCTTGCTTTATGCCTCTCGCCGGAGTACATGGGTACTTATTTACTTTTTAAGTGATTATCATATACATTTACGTAATCCGTAGAATTTATAACGTCTTTGACTAAGCTTTCTTTGAAGTTGAACCTTTGCACACGAATTGAGTGCAGTATTATCAACACTTAAACGGAGTCGAGCGATACAATTAACATTTAGAGGAAGCTACATAAGACATGAAGTAAAGTTCATAGTCGACATTTCGACACAATGAACCGACTAATATTTTTAGAAATAGCTAAGTGGTCAAAAGCAAAGGCGGAGCCAAAGGTGGCAGATCGATGTCACATTTAATTTTTTTTAATGTACACATTATTTTGACTATAAAATTTGTTCGAAACTTATATACGGTTCGATTCGTTCTTCCGAGTTGATTCAGATCAACTTAAATATTTGACTTACAAATATAAAATTGACATCTTTTATATCAAGAAACAAACGGAATCAATATTTTCAACAAAAATTACATCTCCATTATTCACAACACTAGTAAAAATAAAATTTTTACAAGGGCAATTACATCCTTTCCAACACATAAAAAAATATCACTAGGACAATTACATCCTTACCAACACATAAAAAATAAATTTTATATGTATGTTTTTGAATTTGATATCGATCCAAAATTCTCATCGAGACTCAAACTTTTTTAGTTTTGAAAGAAGGAAACTCACATAGTTGAGATTAAGAGCAAAACTTATTTACCCAAACCAATTTACATTAATTTACTATGATTAAGTGATAAATTAATATGAGAATATGTATTTATTAACTATAGTTTAGTGTTAAGCATATTTGTGAATATATGTGTCATGTTTATTGAATTGACGTAAACACCTGTTGGAGGTAAGTATTTACCTTGGACCATGATCCTTACCCGCAAGAAAAACTTGCAAACTCTCGTCCTAAAGATGACACCTTTGTCTAGTTTAAGATTGCATGTGATGTTTGACTCAAAATATATTGGAACCTTTTTGAATAAATCAATCGAAGGGAATGAGGAGTAAATCTTAGCTAAGCATAATAAACTCTAGAACGAAAGGTATAAAAGATGAACACAATAGATAATATTTCTTGATCTTGCGAGAATGAGTGATCAAACTTTAGGAAAGCCAATCTTTTAAGTAGAAAAGTATTACAATCGGTGTTCTCTGCTAAAACAGATCGAAAAAGTCCCCTTCACAAAGTTGTTTTTCTGCTATATATAAGGGACAAACCCCTTCTAAACCCTAAAAGACATATTATAGAGAATATTCGAAAGAATATTCCTAGTGCTCCCTGTTGGGTCTGCACTACTTTAAAACGCCATACAGTCTTTGTTAGCTTGTCTGTCGTCCTCCACAAGATATCGAGCTACGAAGATCTCGTCGTTTGTCGTATTCGTCAATGGTCGTTGTCGTCCAAATTTGGACCCATACATGCAGGGGCGGATTTAGGGGGGCGCAAGGTTGTTCACCCGAACACCCTTCGCCGAAAAATTGTACTGTATATATAAGGCAAAATCTGTTTTTTATCTCTATATATTAAGTTTTGAATATCTTTAACACAATCCAAAAGTGTAGTTTAGTGATCAAGGGTGTTCAAAATCTACATAAAGTCATGGGTTCAATTCCCACTAGCTACAAAAAAAAAATTTTGTACCCCCTTCGTGGAGATCCTGCCTCCGCATACATGTGACATAATTAATTATTTAACCTTGGTTACAAAAATTTTCTCTCTATATATAAAGATTTTGCCAACATATATAGCAGGTGCCATGCCACCACACCTTGAAGGGTGGATCGGCTACTGGTAAAAAGACCATATTTTCGATAGTAACATTACGAGTATAAAGTTCAATGGCCTTTGACCATTGTTATCCTGTTGACCATTAGACAATTTGCAAGCTTTTTGTACAATATTTAAGTTGAAATTGAAAAGAAAACAAAATATAGAAATGAAGTTAAATTCTCTTACTGATAACTTATATTTCACTTGAAATAAACCTTCAAATTAGTATTTCAATATTTCACCTAAAGACAAGAATAAAAGTTTATATTTATAAAAACTGTTATAAAATAAAAACTGTAAAGTAAAGACAACTATAGAGAGAAACTGATATATTATTCGAATTCAAACTGATGTACATAATGAACTGAAATCTCTTCTATTTATAGAAGAAAGGAAGCTGTTGTGTAAGCTGCTACTATAACAGATATGGATAATATTCTACTGAGAGCAATGTTTATCCATAACGGAGTACTGAAAAGATAAGCTTATTATACCTGGTATGGATAATCTTCTACTGGGAATAATGTTTATCCATAACTGGGTACTGAAAGGATAAGCTTATTATACCCGATATGGATAATCTTCTACCGGGGATGATGTTTATCCAGTGGTATGGATAATGTTCTACCGGGGATGATGTTTATCCATAACTGGGTACTGAAAGGATAAGCTTATTATACCCGGTATGGATAATCTTCTACCGGGGATAATGTTTATCCATAACTGG